AGTTTTTTGAAACCTGTCCTAAACTGAGACACTCAGTATGGAAGCCTGTGCTGGAGGTTTGGATCTACATTTAAACACCAAATTGGGAAAAAACAAGAGGCAAAATTTACAAATCCAGCCAGAAAAAAAAAGATTAAAAATATAACAACAGATACTAATTTTGCTTTTAACATCTGTCTCTGTTTCCTTATTGATCTTCATTAGAGCTGGGCAAACTTTCTGTAGTTGACCCCAGACCAGAGGACTGTAGGACTGTAGGATTTTATTGCAAACTCCAGCACCAGGCTAAATCCTCTGAAAGATTTGCATTGTATGCATGATTGATACATGAAGTCTCCTTAATGAAACACCAGATCTGGAAGCTTTGTCTCAGGAAACCCTGGAACCAGAGCGCAATCTGTGTCTCCTCATTGGAATTAGAGATGATGTCTCTATTTTCATGTGGTCAAGTTGTGTCCTAACCTCTTCTAACTGGGTTTTGATGGCAATACATCTATCTTGTATCAGAAAGAGTGTGGCCAGCAGAACCAGGAAAGTGATTGTCCCCCTGTACTTGGCACTGGTGAGTCTGCACCTCGAATACTGTATTTGGTTTTGGGCCCCTCACTACAAGAAAGACATTGAGATGATAGAACATGTCCAGAGAAGGGCAACGAAGCTGGTGAAGTGTCTGGAGCAAGTCTTACAAGGAGCATCTGAGGGATCTGGGGTTGTTGAGACTGGAGAAAAGGAGGCTGAGGGGAGACCTTATCGCTCTCTACAACTACCTAAAAGGAGGTTGTAGCGAGGTGGGGGTCGGGCTCTTCTTCCAAATAACGAGTGATAGGATGAGAGGAAATGGCCTCAAGTTGCACAAGGGGAGGTTTAGATTGAATATTAGGAAAAAATTCTTCAGTGAAAATGTTGTCAAGCACTGGAACAGACTGCCCAGGAAAGTGGTTGAATCACCATCCCTGGAGGTATTTCAAAAACGTGTAGCTGTAGTGCTTAGGGACACGGTTTAATGGTGGGCTTAGGAGTGCTAGGTTAGCAGTTGGATTCAATGATCTTAAGGGTCTTTTCCAACTTAAATGGTTCTGTGATTTTTAGTGGGGTAAAGCTTGAGGAAGAGGACACTACTATATATCCTGGCTGTTTCACTGGATCAAGACAGAGTCTCTCTCTCTATTTCCTGCAATGAGAAAATGGAAATAATGTTAATTCTGGCCTTCCTCATGTAGATAGTCAGTGATATGTACTAAAGTCCCATAGCCTCAGGTAAAAGATGTAGTAGAAATTAAAAGTATTCATATTTATGTCTGGATTATTTTTTTTTTTTCATTCTAAACTGAATTAATCTTCGGGGCTTTGTTTTGAAATTGTTTCTTGTATTCCTGGAGCCAGGCAGGGCATATACTGGGGTATCCATGTGTGATGTGGACACCTAGCTCAGCTCCTTCTCCCAGTGCTGTGCTTTCCCCAAGCTGCTTGGCGAACCAAGGGAGAGCCACTTTTTGGTGTCTGAGCATGGACCAAGGGATAGAGCCACACACGCATTGCAGGCGGTCCCAGCAGGCATCTATACAGAAGATGCAGCTGCAGCTGCTTTGCTGATGTTTGCCCAGCTCTGAATCCCCAGGCAGGGCTAATGCTACTCTGGATTGCGGTGTGACACTCGAGCTGCTCCCAGGGTTAAACACTTTTCAATTAACTGCACTTGGCTACTCGTCCTTTGACTTTTTCTTTGTCAAGAACCAAGATTGAAATCAGCAGGGGAAAAAGGTTCCTTGTGCTGTTGTGTGGGACAGTGTGTCCAGCTCCATGAGCCAGTGCCAGCTGCAAGACAGGAGCAGTCGTCTTCCACTAATGAGAAATACCTTCTACTCTCTCTTTCTGGTCAGAAAATTTTGTCTTAAATTTCTTTAAGACAAAGACCTAATTCTGCTCTTACTGCCTGCAGTTTCAACTCTGCCTCCTGTGTGCACTGCTCAAAATTGCCATAGAGAGCGCAAAGCTGGTGCTGTCATTAAAAAAAAAAAAAAAAAAAAAAAAAAGAAATTATCCCAAGATTGGAACAAAGAAATTGCAGCAGCGCTTTATGAATGCCCAGGTCTGTTCAGAGCAGGATGCCAAGTCCCATCTCAGCAGGATAGAGGGGGTTGGGATCAAGACCAGCTTTAGACAAACAGACCACATCTTCACCATGAGCTTAGAACTCAAATACTCTCCCACAGCTACCCTTGCTGGTTTGTTCCTGGAAGAGCATTGACTTATGTCAGTCCTTGGGCACCATACAGGGAACAGCATTCCCAATGACATTACAGTTGAGTTAACCCTATTTTGAAGGAGAAAAGCCATATGGACATAAGCTCCATATGGAAAGTAGCCATGGCCTTGGGTGCTGAGTTGCAGAGTATCCCTGGGAGGTCAACTCCAGCCATGACTCTTGCCCCCACCAGGGAGACTTTCTATGTGACTGCAAACATGTAATACAAATCCCATGTACCATAACAGAGTGATGACACGAATAAATAGGACCACGGGTCCCTTGACTCTCTGCGTGTACCTGGGATGCTGTTGACACTGAATAAGCAAGTGGCTGCGCATTTACCGGCTGTTTCTCCTGAGTCCTTGGATTAAGCTCTGCTTTGCAATGCATCATTTAAGAGGTTGCAAATATTTTCCGTGCGTTGAAATAAAATTATAAACAGATTGAGCCTGGGTACAGTAGATCCACTGGACTAAATTTGACTAAGAAAAGCTTTTGATTAAAGAATGAGGCTTAAGGGGGATAGGGAGTGAGCTGGCACTGAGGGAAATTTTGTCATTTTAATGAAAAAATTTTTGTGGAAGTATACTCTGCAAACATTGAAGGGGAGAGTTGTGCAGGAAAGCACGTGATATAAATCAGTATCTACTAAAGCAGACCATTTCTTGAATATAACAAAAGTAACTGTATGAAATTGCAAAACAGCACGCACTGCATTTTCATGGGGAAATGTGCTGTATTTAGTCATACTAATTACTGCGTGGGCTCAATTTTCAGTGCAATCAATCCACGGGAAACAAAAGGACTGCAAGGGAAATATAAAAAGACAGTCAGCTAATAGGAGCCAGATTCAATAAAACTGTGTCTGCCTTCAGTGAACGGCGAGGCAGAGGTGTGTCCATTTCCCCTTGGCAAGGCGTGCAGTGGGTCGGGCAAAGGGTGTAGGGCTGAAAGGAGCTTGAAGCAACACCCTGTGTATATATACCTATGTGTATAAATATATATATACATATATGAGAAATACAACTCCTGTTGTGAAGGAACTAGGAAAGAAATGGGTTTAATTCAAGTTTGTTCTGTGCAAAGTTCAGGATGTCATCTCAGCGCAGGGTGTTGTGTGATGGCACTTCTGCCTCAGCCTGCCACACCTCCTGCTCCAGAGTCGTGGGCTCTCCAGTTCCATACAGTACCAGGGGCTTTCCCTTGCCCCACCATCAGCCCAGCACTGTTGCTCCAGCCTCCCTCTGCCATCAGCAAGCAGCAAGCCCCAGCGCTGCTGGTATGGCCTGAGGTCTCCTGGGTGGACTTCAGACCCTGGGTGAACTTCACCTTTATTGCAGAGTTTCAGTTTAATGCCAGTATTTTAGCTAGCTCTTTGGTTTGTTTGCCTAGCACTTAATAGGAGGATTATCTGGTTTACTTTTTTTCTTCCAAGGTCGCTTTTCATTTTCAGTGTTGAATGTATTCATTTTTAGCAGTAGCCTTCTCTCCTGTTCAGGCTCCAAACTTCCCTAGGAAGTGACTTCATGGCATTATTCAAGCAGATTATTGCTTGGAGTGGCTGAATTACCTAGTGTTCATATAATGGCAAGCTCCCAGTCCATATGTATTTAATGACTGTAATAATTTATTTTTTTCCCTTTATTATGTTTGTTTTTAAAGAAAGTTTTACTGTACTATTTATGATATGCTAAATGGTGCAACTTGCTGAAAAAACGTATCACATGCATTTTATTTTTTAATAGTTTTTGCTTGTTAAAATGGAAATCTTTTATTTACCCTAGTAGGGCAGTTTTTTGCTGACAGTTTTATTATTTCAATTACTCAGACATTTCTTTCCTCTTTTGTTTCCCCAGATACTCCTCCAGGGAGTTTTAATGTGTCCATTCTTTATTTAAGATTGGGTTCAGAATGTGTTATTTCTAGCAGGGCAGAGGAAAAGCGTAATATAGCAGACATTAAATAGTGGGATGTCAAGGTTTTATTTTCTTTCCTCTTTGAATTGTGGAATCCTTTCCCCATCTGTGTCATCTGGTGATTAATTGCACTGATAAACTGCTCTCCCTCATCAATAACTTTCTGCTACCAGTGCTGGGCAGAGACTGTGCTCTGCCTAAAGAGTTTGTGGCTGCTGATAAATTAATGTACATGTACAAGTAAAGGGGGGGACCTCTGAGAGCATTTAAAATTGCCAGAGACACAGAGTCCTTTAATAAACTAACGCTCCACAGGTACTGGCAGCAACTACCGTATGCCTTTCACTTGCTGGTGGGGAAAGGAGAATGGGACCATTCCTCCAGGGCAAAATCCAAGCCTTCATTGGTGGAGTGAAAGGGGAACCCCAAGGGATCATACTGGTAGGAAGCCTTGCAACCTCAGTGGGCCAGTGCCAGCAGGAAGGGCAGACCAAATTCACCTATGCAAAGTTCACTAGCGCGGGACAGCGTGGAAACCGGTGTCTGCTCCCCTGGCTCTTGCTGGGTTATAGTTGTGATTTCCCTCTGCAAGTCTTAGTAACTCTCTGACCACCCTCTGATGTGTGATGGATTTTATTTTCCATTATAGCATGACCAGTCTTTGGACTATGAGAAAACTGAAACCAAATGCTTGTTGGGACAGTGGGAGAGCCCCCAGAGCTCCAGACAGATGTGTGCTTGGACTACTGTGGCTAGGGCATGGCCATCCTTTACTGAAGTAGAAAGCACATTACAAAGCATGTCCTCACATTTCTGCATCCCGTCATGTTTTCCAGAGTATCTGGGGGAGAGCTTTTTGATCGCATCGTTGAGAAAGGGTTCTACACTGAGAAGGATGCCAGCACCCTGATCCGGCAGGTCCTAGATGCCGTCTACTACCTGCACCGAATGGGCATCGTGCACAGGGACCTCAAGGTACGACTGTGCTGTGACTCAGTCCTCCAGGAATTGTTAATGAAGGTTGTTTCCATAAGATTGCAAGATTTTCCACACCTTATTGCTGCAAGAGTCTTGCCTCAGTGCTGTACACCTCTGCCAGAAGTGGACATCCTATGATCTTCTCTTCAATAGATAGAGTAGAATAATAGAAAGTAGAAATATTTTTTTTTAAAGCATTGGTTTGGCACTTTTTTAAGGCAAAACCTTGCATCCACTGAAGGAAGATATACACACATGTATGCAAAAAGTGCTTCCTTCTCAGTGTTTTGAAGTTTAATCCTAGCAGTCCCAAATTATGGGTTTTCTGTAAGGAGGCACTGGTTAATCTTCCATCTCCTACAGCCTTCACATGTTGCTCTCAGTGCACATTCATTTCCTGCTCTTATGCTGAAGTACATAGAAATATTCTCACATTTATTAGAGTTCCACAGCATTTCACTATGGAAGCATTATTTAATATTTTTACATGACCAGCTTTCTCCCAAGTTCAATTTGTAGGAAATAACTTCAGGCTTTTTTCTGCCACCAGCGGTTTTGGAGGGAGGTCTGAATCCTCTTAAATCAGATAGTCCATTGTACAAGTTCTTAATATTCCTGTCTTCATAATTTAAAGGAAGGCTGTGGCTCTCACTTTAAAACAGATTAACCTTACTAAAAAATTCCTATAATAAAATATGAGATCTGGTAATTAGGAAGTGGGTTCATCTACAAATTACTTTCAGAGTTTATATAAGGACATGCTCAATTTAGATCAATCTTCTCCAGTTGTGTTTTGGGGCAAAGACTAGCTTGTTTTTTCTCTTACTTTTGTTTGCAAGTCTTTGTCAGTACCATATCAGTTGTTAAAATGACTCATAAAATATGGTATATGAGGAACACCTGCTGCGAATTTCTGTTAGCACAAACATAGCATGATGGCAAAAGTAGGGATATAATAAGACTTTTTATGATCTCAAAATATCAAGATAAGTGTAAGCTTCAAATTGTGATCCTCAAAGTGAAACTCTGGGAAAGAATCCACTCCATAAAAATACAACCCATGAAACATCTCTAACAATTATTTATTGTAATTATGTATTATTCAGATACCAAAATAGAACTTGCTGTAGTTGGGAGAAGCAGATCTGGGCTCCAAGTCTCTAATCTGAGTAACACACCAGCAGATAACAAGAATAGGAGCAGATGAAGTCCAAGGAAGTCCAGGATGTACAAAAAGACTGAAAGGCTCGAGCAGGTCTTCTTGATACAGAGCCACCTCATTAACACTTCTTGAATTAACCAACTTGAAGAACCAGAGTTCTTTTTACAGGTTTTAAACAAGTTTAAGTTCTAAATGGGTGGGTTTCTTGGGCTTACTAAGTATGAGTAAGTGGAAGCCTGAGCTGAGTTAGCAGAAATCGTTAGGAAATAATTGTATTTTCCTTAATACCATCTCTACCAACCCCTCAGCAGATCAGAGGTGCTGTAGTAACAATCGGGAGTAACTCCAACCAACTGCAGACCATGGCATAAAAGTGATTTACGCAGTGCCAGAAAATGGTGTCAGCATTAAACCGGTCAGTTAAAGCACTGGACTTCTGAGATAACATGAGAAAGAAACATAAGTGGTACAACTTCATAATTATTTTTACAAACAGAATCATCTCCCTTTTTACCTCAATCCTAGCTGGCTCACAGCCGTGGATGTAGCTTGTAGACCTTCTCATGGCCATTGTCTCCTATGGATAAAGCCATCACTACCATGGCTTCACACTGCGGCCAGGGAGTCACATAGTGCTTTAACCTCAACCTGAGGCTAAATGTGAATCTCCGAGTAGGTTGGAGGCAACATCATCCCTTAGTGTTTCTTTGTCCCCACTTTCCCTGGAACAGGAGGTTACAGGATGGCGGAGGGAAGATAGATGCCGGTGTTCTGCAGGGCAATTGCTCCTCCTGACAAATCCAGGTTTGGCTGAGTCCCAAAGTTTTTGGTGATGTGGTGTGGCCGCAGTTGCTTCTTGCCATTTCCTGGAGTTGCACAGTGGGCTGGCAGGCAAAACATGTTGCAAGCAGGTGGACGTTTGTACCAGCTTCTGGGCAGGAAGTCTACACCAGGGCTATGTTGAAACATTGGGTATCTGTCACTTTTATAGATGAAGACCCCAAGGTCCAGGTGGTGCAATGGCATCCGTTAGCACCAGGCTATCAGAGTGCCAGCAGATGCTGGACCTTTTTGCCAGTCCAGATATTAAGTAGGGGAAGGAGTATGCTCTCACAGCACCTAGCTAGAGCTTTGCTGTGTAGCAGTAGCACATTCAAAACATATGGATGGATGACTATGCTGTAGCACATGCTGTAGCAGCTCACCTGATGTCAGTATGAAGTCAGAGGGATTTGTGGAGTTACTCGTTTTCTCTCAGTATAAACAAGTTGCTGTACTTAGTGTTGTAGCATTTTTTCCTAATCAGCTCTAGCTAAAGCATCCTTTCTGCAACTCTGTTAACTGTAAGGGCATTTCCTCTCTCATAACAGTTTATTTCCTGTGGAGAAGATACAAAAATTCTCTAACACCTACTGTTTTCCTTTTTCTTTTATTAAGTGCTGTATAAAAAAATTTTATTACAGTAACTGGATTTACCATATTTACCTTCCTTCAAATTAATCCTTCTGTTTTATCACTCTGAAGTGGTGATATGACAGATACATCTCAGGGGTGAGGGATGATCCTTAGTTCTTATTTGGGATGTCAGAGGAGAAATTTGTTATCCCAGGAAAGTTACTCAAAGCTCAAGGTGTCAGCTTCTTCCATTAGTTGCCCTACAGGAGTCTGGAGAGGTTTTCCATATAGGTTGTAAGAGCCAACTCTTTAGGAATTAGGGGAACCAAATTATATTGGTGAATGATATAACTAAGGATTGTATGAAATGCAATGCATCAACCAGCAGACGTGGTTACTGGTCATACATATTCAAAACCCACTTTTTGTTCTCCTTTCTAGCCCGAGAACCTACTTTACTACAGCCAGGATGAAGAGTCAAAAATAATGATCAGTGACTTTGGATTGTCAAAGATGGAGGGTAAAGGAGATGTGATGTCCACAGCGTGTGGGACTCCTGGCTATGTTGGTAAGAGGTTTGCTTATACTGTCCATCTACTCTTCCCAGCTGCAATACAGAAACATCATGAAAAGGGAATAATACTTATTTTCCAGTGCCACTGCATAATGCACGTGAGATTTTACAGATGTTCATTGGAAATAGAGATTTCAAAAGCTGCTGGCACTCTGCCTTGTGTTCTCTTCTCCTTCGGGCTCCCATCCTGCAATCCACCTCAGGGTTTGTGGGATTTAGTTTCATGATTTGAATCCTTTGCAAAATGAGTTTTCTCAAAGACACTGCCCGTAGCTAAATTAGGAGCACATGAAGAATATCCTCAAATGTATTGATTCTGCAAGCACCTATAAAATCAAGAAGCTTTACATAATGTAACACATTATTTTAATCGTAAAGGGTAGCATTTGCCAGATTCCCCTGACAGAAGACAGTAAAATGAAAGAGCTACGTTTATTCAGACATCTTCAGTCACCTTCTGTTACAGCCATGTTAAGTTACTGACTCCTAGATGTCAGTATGCAAAAGCTCTTTACATCCTTGGGCCTTCCTGGGCAGTATCAATTTGTTTCCTAACATTTCTTCTTTGCTCTTCTGTCCATTCAGCAGTGATTGTACCAGGCTACTGATTAGCAGTGTGTTTACCAGCATCCTCTTAAAAAAGTTCAGGTAGCTGAATGTGAGAATTACATGGTGGGTGATAACAGGGTCTGCCTGAGCAAACACTATTTAAAAGACTCACTTCATGCACAAGACATCAAACAAGCCTGCGCCCTCCTACCATACCAAGCTAGACAGCTGAGATGGTCAAATTAATCTCAGGGATATCCATGAAATCCATGAAACTAAAATGACAGTGGCTTCCCCAGAGATAGGTTTGTCTCAAACCTTTCCAACAGGAAAGACTTGATGTTTTCCAGCAGTCAGAGGCTCCTTTTGCTTTGCAGCTGCCACCTCACCTGTTTTCATAGCTCTGATGGTACCATGGTACAAAAACTCAAATTATGCAGCTATGACACAGTGATTCAGATTTGTCCCATCAACACCTTTTTTCAGGCATTCTCTTCATGCTGCACAGAAACACTCTATCCTGATAACATCAGGAAAAGGAACAGATTTCTCTGGTTTCCCATCATGAAGCTATCAGCCCATCATTTTATTTTATTTTAAGACATATGAGTCAGGATGCACTGTGTACAGCCTGAATAGTTGTCTTGTGTAATCACACCAGACTGGAAATCTTCTTCCAAAGCACTAGCAGGAATTGAGTTGAGACAGCAATTTTCATAATTTTTGCTGTCAGTTTTCCTGTCCTTAATTAACATGTTTTATTTTGTTCTGAAATGAGCACTGACTAGAGTAAGTCTTTGAGACACAGGGAAGCTCAGATGATGTTTGCTGAAGCACTGATGAAAATGAGGGAGTTCGACTCTGCTTGGGCACTGTGTGATCTCATATGGCCTCTCAGTGTAACCATTTACATAAGAAAACTTGCTATTTTGGAGAGGAAGTTCTCGGAGCATGTGACACAAATTGTAGTGCTTAGAGAGATGTTTGAGAGCTTTCATTACTCATGGTCAGGGTGCTGATAGCTACACAAGTACCTCCAGGCCTATTGTTACCTTACTGAACACAAGGTTTACTCACCATGGTTCAAGAGGTCATGGCTGATTATTTCTGAAGTGCTGGCAGGAGTTTTTCCCCTCTGTCACAAAGAAAACCTCTTTAAGTATTTGTTCTATTTCTTTTTTACACGGAAGACAGCTCCTCTTTACTGCTGCTTTTTTTAAAAAATATAATTGGTTGCCCAGACAACATTTTCCAAGCACAGAAAATTTTTGATGTCAGTCACTGTGGTGATGCCCACAAATGGGCTGCCGTGAATGTGATACCTGATGACATGGCTTCTGCATACATGGTCTGCAATTTGTCCATATCCAAAAGCTTTCATGGCTTCCAGCATCACTCCAATTTGCAGTACTTGCCTAATTCCATCAAATAAATGTAAGAGGCCTTCTTCCTAATGGCACAACATGAATATGTATCCTCATCTGAATTGGGGCAGACACATGCCACTGTGCTGGCCCATGAACTGTCCTGTCTGCCACCTCTTTTTGTTTTTGGTTTTTTTTTTTTTCCATCCATTTTACCTAGGGTTGAAGTAACACTCAGGGACCCATCACGTGCAACACATTTCCTGGTGCTTTTCTTTAAAGATATGTAGAACAACCCACTTTCTAAGTTCTTATGAGGAAGTAATTATTTTTACCAATTTAAGCACTTTGCTTTTAAATTACTGGAAAAAAAATAGGTACCTATCACATGTCAAAGGCACCCAGGGCTCTGTTAAGAAGTCATTAGCATCTGCTGCTATTTATACTTCAGAAATGGATCCAGTCAGATTCCACTATGCAAAGTGCTGGACAAGCTTCTAACTTGGTAGTAGGCCTGATCTTACCTTGTGTCTGCTCCCCAAGTATTTGCAAGTATAAAAGTCCTCCTGTCAATTCTACCTAGTTTCTCTGATTAGGATACACTTTCAACTCTTTGTACTCTAGTTTTTAATTCAACATTTCTTAGTTTCATCTCCATAGAACTGTGGTACCCACGACACTAAATTCCTGTTTATGTGGTTCAGAAATTCATTGAATAAGGGAGGGTGTGATTATAATTAAACTTCTTAATAAATATCAGGTTTCCTTCTAAAAATCAAAGTATTACTTAGCATATAAGAGTATGTCTAAAACGTATAGAAACATCAGTGCATTAGTACATCAGTTTTTAAGTCTCTGCCTTACAGATTAAATTACTGTCAACAGTTCAGAGCTCTTACTCCTTCAGGAGTTTTGTCAGACATTTTGGTACTATGGTGAAAAGGTGACAGTTAGGATAATTTAACCCAGTTAGCTGAGCCAATTTTGTTAAGATGCAAATCTGAATGTTTACCTGCTGAAGAGGGGGTCTGATAACACAGCCTCTTCTGATAAAAAGGTCTTCTATTTTCTTATCTGCTTACCACTCTTATCTCTCTTTCCATTTCTTGTGGAAGGAGTCTAGGTGATGGAGCTGGGACTAGAGGCCCAACTTTTAATAACATCTTAATTTGGGTAAGATAAGGCATCTTGTATGGCTCATTTCATTGCAAATTAGATGTCTGAACTGGTTTGCATGGATCCCACCCCAGTGTCAAAACTGGAGAAGTGTTTTCAAAATCCTAAGTGATCTGTGTGATTATGGTCAAGATCTGTATAAGCCATTAGTGATTTATCATTTTAAACATCATAGATTTGGGCTGCTCAGCTTGTGACCATTTATAAGAACTTGATTGTGATGAAGGAGGTGTACAAAACTGCCTGAAAATGAGTCATCCTTGAGGTGTGTCAAGTTGGGCACTCATCAGGAGATGACTCCAGACATTCAGCAAATTCCTTTAAAGAGATTTTGGCTGTTTGGGAATTAGGTCTCACTGACTGACTTTCCATGAAAGCTGGTCTCTCAAAAGCTTTGGTTACTTCTGTAGATGGGACTTAGACTCGCAAGACACTTAGGAGCATTGAAAATTTTGGAAAAAATGTTAAAAAGCCTGTCTCAGGCACTCTGATCTCCTTTTGCAGAAATGCTGAATTATGAACGATGTTTGTGGCTGGCTAATATCTTAATCCTACTGGGATTTAAAATTCTTGGTCTGAGTCCCAACACAATTTCAAGTAAAATTTTCTTGTATTTCCCTGTCGTAGGTTTGGACTGGACCCTGGTAGTGTGGTTGGTTCCTGTACACCCCACCTCACTCACTGTTTTTATTTTCTGAAGGGCTTTTATGAAAGGACATTTACAACGTTCAGCTCTGCCAGAAATCCAGTAGCAATTTCAGATCATATCAAAGCCATGCATTTCTTGTAGCCCTGTGCAAGACCAAAGTATTTAAGGAAGCAATATATTTCCATGCTGAATTTTGACTTACTTGGTATCCTTTGAGTCAACGGTTGAAAATATTCAATAAGCCTTTGGAATATCCTTATTATCAAAAAGAAACCCCAGGAGTTGTTTAGGCAGTAACATGAGTAATAAAGTAAAAATAAAGCATGGGAACTACTCTCACTGGGGTTTGCTCAGGCACAACCTCGTGACATTGCAATTGCTCAGCTCTATTGCTGTATTCTGAAATGGGGTTTGCTGGTGTGTGGTTGTAGCTGCATTATGTTCCATGACAGCTATCTAAATCTGACTCAGCAACATGAAATAGGGACAACAGGAATGCAAGAAGCCATCAGCACTGCACTGAAACCCTGCTGTCCTTCAGAAACAGCCCCAAACTTCAAAGTCTTGGCCAAGTAAACAAGATGAACACTGGCGGACTGTGTGAAAGAGGGAAATAAGTTGTTTTCATCACAGGAGTCAGTGGAAGAGGAACTCTGGTCTTGTGGTGAAGCTGCTTCATATGACTTTTAGCCTGTTTGCACCATGAGGAAGACACTTTGTATGGCAGCAGAGGAGCTCACACAGTTCTTGTACCATCTTTGGCTTCAGGAGAGGGGCTGGATTGGCTCTTCGTGCATCCAACCATCTTCTCAGTGGTGCAGGGTTTTTCTTCTCTGTTCAGCTTCTTGAGGCGGTATCTTCAAGAGTCCTCAGCAACAGGGCTGGCACCCTCTCCCTTTGGTGACCATTTCTTACTTTCCTTCTCAGACTTCATGGCCACCTTGTACCTGTGCAGCCCACTCATGTTTCCCCTTCTTTATATGCAGGACGTGCCTACATGATGGAAACTGGCACTAAAATAGTTACCAGCTGAACTACTAGTACTGGCTTGCACCAGGCCAATTTACTTGGCCATCTGAACTATGTCCCTGCCCAGTGTAAGCAGGTCCCTGGTTATTTTTACCCTGTTTAGATCTTTCTATTCCTCCCACATTTACGCAGCCTGCTGATTTGTCACTCCTGTGGGGATCTTCAAAACCATCACCCTTTGTTCAAATGCCTCCTTGCTTCTGGCATGCAGCTTGTGGGAAGCCATATAAACCACAGAAAACAGCATTAGACTGAGTTCTTGTGAGACAGCAAAATCTGCTGGGAGTATCACCATCATGGGAGTGTAGGAGAATCGCTTTTAAGTATGAGGCTGGTATGAAGAACAGGCACCCTCATGACTTGTACAGTTTGTTCAACAGGCTTAAAGTATCAGAGCAATCCCCATCACTTGAGCTCTTTGCAAGAACATGGATTGCTGGTTTTGGCATCCAGAAGCTGCATTTTTAGGGAGCTTACTAGCATAGCTGTGTTGACTGAAGGTAATGGCATAGTGCTCTGAAAGGTTTCCAAACGTTCCTGTTCTGTACCTTTTCTTAAAACCTTCACTTGAAACAAGCTTCTTAATTTTTTCTCTTATTAAAAGCAAAACATAACTAAACACAAAAAAAACCATCCTGATGGTAAAACAGCAGATCATCTGGCATGGGAAGCACATCTTCATGTACCTGCAGGTGGGATGAGGCCCTAGGACCATTACTCTATGTTGTGCCTGCTGCACGTTGCTGGTAGCAATGCTGATTTGGTCTGAAACACAATTCCTGGATGCAGAGGAAGGTTTCATTGACTTCCCTGTCTCTGGATGACTGTTGTGTGGCATTTGAGCCCACGCTGATTCCCTGGGGAGGTGCAATTCTGTAAACCTTTGCTCAGCTGGCATTTCCCCAGTGCCAGAAATGTGAGCTTTGACTTTCCCATTCTCTCTACTGCTGTTTTGTCTCCACAGCCGTCTGTGTTGATCCTTTAATGCCATCGTCTCTTGGATTTTTTTCATTGCATCTCCTGCTTTTGCCTCTTGGCACTGATCTACCATCATTTCTGAGAGCTCCTCAGACTTGGTTTTTCAGCTCATTAAATATTTCCATCTTTTCCAAATATCAGAGACAGATGATGCTTAGTTATGTTCTCCTGTTCCTGTTGCATGACTGCTGTTTGGAACAAAAATCAAAAGCAGACATTTGGCCTTAAGATAATTATTTAAACCTCCTTAAGAAAATTTTTCTTCATGAAAATTTACCCAAAGGGAGGCAATAGCCTCACTTTTGCTCTGGGCTTGATTCTGTGGTGTTCTTACCTTTTCACAGCCACCATCCGCAGAAGCAACTGTCTGTTATCAGTACTCTTCACTCCTTTAAACCAGAGAGAAATGTCACACGATAGGTTTGATGTTTTAAGAGGGAGAATCTTTATGTAGTCCACATCCCCTCATCTCAGATTTCTTTTCTGTTACGTTAATGTGGCATATCTGTATAATGTCAGGAACTCACTAGGATCCATGGTGCTCAAGAGCCATTTACATGATATTTTCTTTGGGGGATATAAAATGGATAATGTTTACCAGTCTTGAAAAGGATGCAAACAGGAGCAGACAGTCAAAGGTAGGAGAGATATGCAAAGAAAATATTGGGAATTTGGAAGGACAAATCAGCTAAAAACGGGAAAATTAACTCCCTTCTGCATATTTTGACACAAAATTTAGTAACAATGAATGGAGCAAAAAAGGAAATTGAGTCTCACAGACCCTATCTGATGCACATTCTGAAAAAAGATTCTTTACAGAGGAAAACTTGGAGTCAAATTTTGAAGACTCGGGAAGGAAAGAGTCAGATTAGGGGACACAAGAATTGTCTGGTAATGTTGTCTTGAACAACTTTGAGGAACAACTGTTTTATACAAGAGAAATGTAAATTTTCCAGACTGTCTCAGATTACCAGGTTATCTGGGAGGTAGTGGCAGGCCAAATAGAATGGCTCTCCAGTGCTTTATTCTTTCATACCAAGTTTGTCTTTAAATTTACCCCAGCCAGACTGACTAGAACCAAACTGACACACAGACCCTTATCCAGCCATTGGGAAAGGAGCTACATTTTGGGCACCAACTGTAGATGCCTTTTATATTTCCACAGGCCTGTCCCCTATTGTAGTAAGAACATTTTAACCTTTATCTTGATAGAGTACAGCATCATGCCCATGTCCTGGAAGGAGTCAAGGGCTTCTGAGAATTGGGGTGCAGGTTTCCACGAAGAACCTAGGGCCATGTTAGGAGCCATTTATGCTAGATATGGTGGAAAGAAACCTCCTTTAGTACGTAGTCAATATGTGTTGGAGTATTCACACATTACAACAGTGTATTAGGATTAACAATATATGAACAGAACCATCATTTTAATTTCTTGTACATGCAGTGTTCCCAATTTGCTGCATGACTTAAAGACTGGGGTAGTGTTTACCCTGTGCTGCAGATTGGGGCATATCTCAATCTTCAAGAGTCTTCATAATCTGGCTGCCAGCTCTATTTTCACTCACATTCCCCTGGATTTTCTTCCTTTTTACAATGTGTTTCCAGTGTGACTTGACCCTTTCCATCACTCTTCTGCTTGTGGAAATGAAGCCTGGATGCCCTCATCTCCCTCTCACACTGTCTTCCTTTCAATCCCTTCTATAAATTCTTATGCCCAAGCACCAGAAAGTCTTTTCTGTTTCTCATTATTACTTCCTGTTCCTTTCCTTGCTGGCAGTTTTGACCTTAGTTTTGTTGACTTGTCTAACTTAGGAAGATAACTCTGAAGACTCCTTACCAGTACGCCAAAGATTATGTAGCAAATAAATGTGAGGCTCAAGTTTTAATACATTTATGTGCTTCACTGTTCTTCAAGTAACTAACTGCTTTGATGTTGGTAAGACTCCTAGCAGAGAAAGGTGTAACCTTGAAGAAATATTTTTGCTGAGACTTGCCCCTTCACGATTTTTTTTTTGCAGCATTTGAACTCCAAAGTACTCAGAGAAAATACTGTGCTTTTTGAAACCCAGTGTGGCAAGTCTGCTTTAGGAATGCCACAATCAATGATTTCTTGCATTATTGTGGACATTTTGCTTTGAAAAAAGCAAAAGCTTCTTTACGTGAAAAAGATTAGAGTCACAGGGTTTTAAAATTTAGGTTTAAGCATTGGCACTGAAAGGTCCCAACAGGGAAAACATAATACTCCAGGATCCCAAACAAAAATCCACCTTTTTAACTCTCACTGGTGTAAGGTAGGAAAATAGACCCACAAAGAGTTTCAACAAATGCCAGGCTCTCACTTCCAGAAAAATTCAGACTATGATGGCTGAAGGCTGTAGGGGCAGAAGGCTCAGTTCCTTTGTGCATCTGTCCAATTCCTGCTACTTTTTGTTTCTCCCTTCAAGGTGTCTATGTTCCCAGAGGTGGAAGGACAAATGACTCCCTCTGACTGACATCCAGTAGGCTTTGGAAGGCAGTTGCTGGGAGGTGTGGTGACAGCTCTCCTTCCTCTCCTGCAGATGTAGCTTATCACCTCCTTGACACACTGCACTTTCCAAGTTGCCTATTGAAATCCCCGGTTTGGCAGCACAATGCAGTGGGGCTGCAAGGCTGTCAGGGTGAATGTGTATCTCAGCACTGGTGCAAAACTCAGCTTTGTTTTCCTCTGTGTCTCCTAAAGTTCCTCTGACAGGGAGGTGATGGCCTGTCATGTATCTCCCTGTGCTTGGTTTCATTTTCTGTCCTTGGAGTTGGAAAAGGGGGAATTTGCTCCACTTTAAGTTGTCCTTTTTTGTGGGAAGATGAGCTTCAAAAACATCAGGATATTTGCACATGCAAGGGCTGTACATGGAGAGCAACACAAGGTCTCAGGGAGCTTCAAGTTTCAGGGTCCTACCTCTTGTCCACGTTCAAATGTTTGGTCTTGTAACGTGCTTATCTGGCTTTTTATTTTCAGCTCCCGAAGTGCTGGCCCAGAAACCCTACAGCAAAGCCGTGGACTGCTGGTCCATCGGGGTCATTGCATACATCTTGTGAGTATCTGTCAGATTTTCAATCACAGGCAGCTTTGGGTTCTGAAACATGCTCTCCTGCCATATAGTTCCCCACTTAGTCTGGGCCTAAAAAGCTAATCTCTGACATTTGTGACCCAGGATAACATGAGCCCAGGACATCTCCCAGTTACATAAAGGCTGAAATTTGGCAGAAGTGGTGGAAAATGAACCAGGACCCTACAAAAGCTAAAATCCTTGCTCCCATCTGAACTACACCATGTGCAATAGTATGGGCTAGTTCAGGTTGCGACATTAATGAAGTTGTTACATCTCCTGCTCAGATTAGCTTTGACAAGAAACAAATTTGGCCATGTCCACAGAGCACAGCATTGTGCCCACCGGTGTATCCTGAAGGGTCACCTCTCAAGGCATCACCATAATGGCTTTTTGTTCCCTGGAGAGGGTGCAGAGGGAGATAAGGGGGGAAGAGCATTTCTTGGACTGCAATGAATTCTTCTCATAAAACATAATACAAAATATTGAGATTTTTACTGAAAATGAGGGGTCATTTTGCTTAACACATCCAACCATCAGGTCCCATATGAGAGGGTGATTTGTGCCCTGACAGTTCTGTCACTCTTCTATCAAACCATTAAGCCTCTGCATTCTTAGCCGAGATTTGCTCCTCTAATGGGGCTAATTGCTGCTCAAAGGAGTGGGGATTGGTTACTGGAAAAAGCAACATGACCAAGACTTTTGTTCATTCTCCCAGGTGATGGATAGATCTCAGAACTCATACGTTTATGGAGATTTAGTGCCTGTCCTCATTCAGTACCTGCCACCCTTCTTCACAAAGGCTTACTAGGCTAATTTTTAAGGATAATTTTATCCTTAAAAGGCTGAAGTGGAGAGAACCTCAGGAACTCCTGTCCTTGAGGTCAGGCTAGGTTGCCTAGGGCTTTATCCAGTTGGGTCTTGAAATCCTCTGAAAACGGAGACTGCACAAGGTCTGTGAGCAACCTGTCGCACTGCTTGAATGTCCTCAGGGGGAAAAGGTTTTTCCTTATATCCAGACTTGTCTCCATGAAAGGGACAGCCAGCACTATAGATGTGGGTGCAGCTTCAGTGCTTGAGCCATGAAAGTAGTTAAGCCACCTCCTGCAGCAGTGACAACACCTGGAAGGATTGGAGAGGTGTCCATGGACACGATGGCCATGGGGATACCCTGGTACCAGTGGTCATTAGTGCTGTCCAGAGAAGGGCAACCATAACATTTCTGGACACCATCATCTGACTCAACTCTGTGTATGAAATATGTATATGAAATCACTGCTAGTGTTTGGACTGAGAAGGAAATGTAGAACTTGCTGTCTCTGAACCTGCATGAAGACTCCCTCTAGCTCAGAGGCCTGTCTTGATGGGGTAGTCTGTGCTCAGGGCTCAGGTCTGTGAGTCCATGTGTGTCATTCAAATAACAATTGCATAGGTTGCATCTCCACAGCCTTGCAGACTTTGAAGCAGAAGCTATTCATGTGGGTCTTCAAGATGAGATCAGGCTTTTGCCATGGGCTACCCAGGGTGACCACGCAGATCACACCAAGCCTGTTCCTTTTGTGCAAGAGAGCACAGAGCTGGTGTGTAGCTGTTGACTACCACAGAAAGAAATATCCTTCCATGACAGCATTACCAGTGTTTTCCCCCATTTTTATTTTTCCTTTTTACACAACTGTCACAGTTATACAAGACTGAAGGAAAAAGCAGCTCCAATGAAGTTCAGCATTAAAGCATTCCTTTGTTCCCTTTCTCCTTATGCAAACATTTCATGGCTTGTCAACATGAATAGCTTTTTGATGGTATAGTAGAGCTATTTTTGCCAGGACAAACCTCACTGCTGTACTGTCCACTCTGTGCAAAGTTAATTCTTTACATTTTCATTTAGTCTTGAACATAAGTTATAGGCTACCCTAAATACCTTTTTTATATTAAGATAGTATAGGAAGGTTTTATTTACTTGCAAGTATGTTTATTTATGTAAAACAAAGTCCTGCCTAAAAGCATTAGCTTTATGACTGGTTTTCCAATCTACATGAATATTTGAAAATTTGTTGAGTACAATACTTTGCAGGGGGATGGATTTATTTTGGAGCAACCATCAGTAGCAGGATGCAAAAAGCTTTTGCATAACAAAGCAAAAATCAACAGTGCTGATTCTGACTTTGTGGCAAAGCCCGGAGAGACATGCTACAGCAGTGAGGAAGGCAGCAGACATGCCAAAATACCTCAGAGACTGCTTCACACATCATTTCCTAGTGCTCTTTTAGGTAAGGATGGTGTGTGCTGACCCAAACTTACCATTTTCCACAAGCAAACCTGAGCAATGGAAGGCCTAGGAGTTGGAGTTTTTGACATTTTTGGTCGTTGCCAGCCATGGCAGGACAATCAGGTAGAGTATTTTCTGTTGCTTTTGCCATACTTTGCTGAGTACCAGCTTCAGAGAGTGGGAAGAAGGAGGATGCAGGTGGCAGTGCACTGCCTCTCTTCCAGACTCAACCACTGACTAGGTTCAGTTTATTGTCAAATATCCTCTCTGAAAATGTGTCCATCTGGTAGCCCACAGGAGGGCTGTGAACTGGTACATTCTAGTTGCCTGGAGATAAGCTTGGCTCTGCATTCCTCCAAGTTTTCAGTCCCTTTCAACCATGGCTCATGCACCAAAGGTTTTTTTTTGCTTGCAGACCCATTGTTATTTCACTTGTTGCTTTTATGTGTCTTGCTGAGGAGTAAGGGTGAGACAGTGCTAAGTAATGTGCCCTCCACACCTGGTTTATGAACACATCCTTGATAGGTGGAAGGTTTTAATGTCATCCATAATCATTCCCCCTTCCTAAACAAGGCTGCTCTTTCTGCAAGGTTCAGCTCAATTTTTTCCTGCTCTGTTTTCCAAATCAACATGTGCTGGACTTGTCAAGCAAGTCATATGCACTGCTCAAATCTAAATACCCCATTTTCTTTATGGGGAATTCCTAACCCTGAAGGCTTAAATCGGTTTAGTAAGAACGAGTCCATATGAATTCCTGTTTGCAGGACAAGGAAACCTTTTCAGGGTTTCTGTGCTTCATGTAATAAGGAATTGATTTGTATTATGTACAGTCAAAATGAATGGCAATAATGCATTGTCATAAAAGGAGTGTGGTAATGTGTTTGCCAGACTGTTACTGCTCGGGTAGGATTGGGTCTGAGATCAAACCACCTCCTTGAATATTTCTGCAAGTGAACTGCATCCTTCAGCTCCTGTAACAATCAGCAGCACTCCAGGGCTCACTGGTTACCCTCACATAGGTGCTTAATGCTGTTTCAGTCACATATGGTGTCCTGCCTGGTCTCAAGCTGTGACTGCAGGACAGCCCAGACTCCCATAGCCCCATGGTGTGCCCGCCAGCTGGGGACAGGGGTCCTGGGCACTCAGTAGCTTCTCCAGTGTCACTGGGCTCTACATGTGGTCTCCTCAACCCAGTTTGGGTCAGTGCAAGCAGTCATTTCACCGACATGCCATTCAGTTGCCTAAACTTACACATTTAATGCCACGCAGTTTAACACACTGCAGAGACCTTCCTTCTGTAGCGGCAGATGGAGGCCAAGCAGGAGATCATGGACCGTGTCGAATAGCACCAGATGCCCATGCTGAGGCTGCTGGATGACACCGTGTTCCATACTCAGACCCTTGCCTTCACAGTATGGTTTCATCTCCTCTATGGCACATTTGCATCACTCTCCGGTCTCCGTTGACTCCACCTCTGTTGACTGAAATGGGATCTTAGAAACCCAGCCCACATCTCACATCTCCTAATCCTAAACTTTATCTTATCCTTGCTTCCAGGAATAGCCAGAAACTGTAGATGTGGTCTTGTAAGAAAGTGGATGTCAGGGGTACAGTAAAGACAGAGAGGAAGAGGGGCCCTTCCCTAAACTGGAAGGAAGTAGCCCTGCTGGGGTGTCTGACACAACTGGTGTTGGGCACAGGTTTAACATCCAGGTTTACTGTCTCAGCAGTGGCACACCACTGGAGGTAGCAGAACCAGTGTGCTCACAGTGCAGCATGGTGCTGAGATGCCATGAGCACCAGCAGCATAGCCACCCTGGTGCAATGCTGGCAGTTAATCCTGCCCTGAGCAGGAGTTGATTCCAGTATATCACCACCCCCCATCCCGATATGCCATTTCCATCTCCGCAGCCAGCACAGTTGGGGCTACCTGCACATGCCCAAACCAGTCAGAGACATATTTATGCATAGGGCAATCCAAGCACATCGTCCAGCATCACCTTCCCACCTCTCCCACGAATCCTCACAGCCGCTCTGAACAGACTGTTGTCATTTAAGAAAATGGAAACTGAGGTCAATCCAACACAGAAGCCAGGCATAAATTAAAGATGCTTTGAGCTATTATTACTGCAAATGGTTTGAGTGCCTGCAGACACAAGCTCAGTCTCACATGAGAGCCCTCAGTTTACGACACTGGAAGAACAAACTGTTTCTGTGGCACCAATGCTCTAGACAAATATTTGTTTCTGTAATATGCAAGGTGAAGAATATCCTAGGAAAGAATACCTTTGTTTCACTGCCAGCCTCTAATGGTTCTCGTTAATGACAGCCAGATTGCAGAGGCTGCACCAGCAGAGTTTTTATCAAAACCTGTTTTGCATGAGAAGTCATTATTCACACAAACTAATTTTAGCAGCCTGAAATTTCCTGTTATTCCAGTTGCAATATTTCTCAATTTGAAACAGCCTTACTGTTGAGCTTGGATTTCTACTTATCACAAGGTAGTTTTGATGATGTGTTCAGCTTAAAAATACAAAACATAAGAAGAGAAAGAGACTCCACTCGATTCCCAGCAGCTGGATTTTGGACCTCTCTGGGTCACATGAGGGGTTACAAAAGCTTGGGAGCTAAAATACTGATTGCATGTATGCCTGATAGAGAGAATATTAAGTTAATTTATGCAAAAAGTAGAAAATCAGGTTCCAAAGCTGGAAAAGAACCCAGGGCCACAGAATACTCTGCCTCAGCCTGTGGTTATTCAGTCAACAACTCCCCTCTCTTCTGCACTAGGCTGAACACATTTTGCCCTGAATTTTCTTCTGATTCTATTCACTTACAAGACAAGAGAATTACTGGTTTGTTACTGTTATTTATAAACAATGAGTATCTGGAGGTAAATCTTGGATCAGACTTTCACACTTTGCTGCTGAATTGCTTTTGATTTTCGAGCAGATGTGTATGAATCATCAATGATGTTTGTATGGAAGGATTAACCAGGGACAGTACAAAGTATATTATGCCAGAATAAGTTTCCCCCATCATCCTGGTGTCACACACTGGGAAAAGCTGGTCAGTTAGTTCTCCTGTTCACCATCACCCACAAGCCTAAACAAGAAAGTGAGGAATAAGTTACTTGTTTGGTACTGGAAGGAGAGTTAGTGATGATAAAATGTACACAGGCATGTTGGACTGCTCAGGATAACTCAGTTAAACACTGGGAAGGTAACCCCAAATGATTGCTCCTCACTGCTTGCCCCTTGATTTATTTTTTATTCCCCATGCTAATATGTCTTGTCCACAGTTTTGTGAGGTCACCAGTGTCAGCCAGTATGAGGGTCTGTTCCCAAAACAAGAAGAAATACATGTGTTTATCACTATAAATAGCACTTGGATTACTTTCCACACCATACATCTCAGGTCTTTGAGCACTTACTGAATCCTTTGCTCTAATCTTACTATAAAATTGTAAAACTAACCCCAGTGCCTCTTGTAGGCTGTACACTGACCATGTGAATGGGTTGCTTAGCCTGTAGTGTCGTCCCCAATATGTCATGAGAGCTTGCAGGGGTTTGCTTTCTCAGCCTGGTGAGGAGATGTTCCTGGTATTCATCTTTTCCTCTCCTGATGGCTTCTAGAAATGACTTCTGGCAATATCTTTCTTTTGTACATCCACCTGTGTTTTTCTTATCTGCATCCCATTATTTTTAAGGCAAGACTGTGAATAGGAAGTTAAGGAAGAATCTGTTGCTGATGTGATAAGGTTGCTAAATAATTTTGAAAAGCTTTTATGTAGTGAAACTATGAGAAAATGATGGCAACTAATAGCTGCCTGAAGCTCCCCCAGGACAATGTAGGATTTTTTCACATTGAAGACAGAGGGGTTATTTTTGTATTTCTGCATATCTAAGGAAAAGCAGCAGAACCTCTGATAGTGAGGTCATTTTTTTCACACAGCAATGTCCCATCAGATGGAAATGAAGTCGGTGGGATTTTGATTTTGTAAGAATTAAATAAAAACTTATTATGGACTTTGGAAGGTGGCCCAGTTGCTGGAAGTCCAGCAAAATTTCCTCCTGCCATAAATTTCATGATAGGCTAATTTACTGGGGCTTTCCCATCCCTTACTGCCAAGCTAGTAATGTTAAAACATTAAAGTAACATTAAAACTTCTGTGTCTTCCTAAACTCTGGTTTTAGGGGAAAGGACAGCAAAAATACCTACATTTTGGCTCCCAACCCCTCCTTGTGCCAGGATGCCTTGGTGTTTCACCCCCATATGCCACCTCCTCTGTCCTAAACTTACTCCCTTCTCACATGCTTTCTGGTGTAGGTCCTCAGTGATTTGCCTCCTGGAGGAACATCCTTGGGCCCCCCTATGCAACAGGTTCATCCCATCCCTGGCCGAGCCAGGACCAGCCCTTGCCCTGCATTCAGCCCACTCCTGATTTGGGGGGATGTCCCCCTCTATGACCTGTAAGAGTGACTAACACTTCTCAAGATCTCACTAGCAAGGGAAAAGCAGTGCCAAAAGAGGCTGTTTTCTGCCCTGTGCCCAGCTCCCAGCAGTCCTAGCATTCTCCTGCATCAGCCTTCCCAGCACCTACCCCTGCTATGGGCTGCAATGACCTCCCAGACACAGAAGTAGATGCCCCAGATGTGTAGATACTCAAGCCATGCAGAGAAGCAGGGGAAGAGCTGGATGAGTATAGGAAAGGGATTAAAAGGCTCTGTGGAGGTTAATTGCTGGGGTTCATGACTTTCTGCTCCCCCCTCTTGCAGGGTTGTAGCCCTCCAGCTCTGTGCTGCTCAGCAGTTTGCTCCTACCTTTTGCTGCCACGAGCATGTATAAATCACAGCAGCCCTAACTTGTGCTCTTGTACCTTTGCCAAGGTAATTAGTACAGTGCACATTTTAAGAGAGTTATTTCTCTCTCCAGAGCAGCCTGCCAGGGCCTCGGCATGCACAGAGCTGTCTGCTTGCACTAAAATGTTTTATCAGAGCAGTTTGCTTTTGTTTGAGGAAAGTGCTGAGGAAGGCAAGAAATTAATGAAGAGCTGTCAGGCTTCTTGTAGAGAGCCCAGTGTGTCCCCCGGGGAAGAGGGACAGAGCAATGGCTCCAAGTGCCTTTGGAGGAGCAGTTTTCCTCCAACCTAGACATCTCTACTCCAGTGGCCATCCTAACAGTTGCAGTTCTGGTGCTGTCAACTCCAGCCTTTCCAAACCCCTCTATAAAGCACCCAAAATCTTGAGGGTTGTGACAGAAGAGGAGAAAGGTGAAAATCAGTTTGTGTGCATCCCCCCCTAAGACTGTGGGATGTAAGCACTGATATTTATTATGTTAAAGCAAGTTATATAAATGTTCTTCATAGAAACCTGTAGAACTAGATCCTGGTTGTGGATCTAGTTTCTGCATTCGGTTACCAGACGTTTTTCTTCCATCATCAGGTGCATAACGGCTTTTGGGGGGTTTGCTTAAATGCACCGTTTTTAATGACCTTTCTCTTATGCCACTTCTTCTGCTGGGTTTCTTGTAGGGGGTGCTGCATCGAGCCCCATACACAAGCACATGCCCATTAAGTAGGTATGCAGTATGTAATGTCTGAATGTAAATTGTTGCCTGGCATGAGGTTACTTACTTGCTTTTGATAATGGCAGTCATCCAGTGTGACACAAATGAAGACTGGCTCATCATCTTCTCAAGATAAAGACAGAGATTTCTGATTCAGCTGAACCACAGTGGCTTCATTATAATGCTGCAAATTTCAGCAGAGTTCTTCCAGGTCAATATGGATCTGACGCAGATCAACATCTCATTCAGTATTTAAATTATTTATCAAGCACACTGGCTCTTCAGGGCTAACAAAACATTGCTCCTTTCACCTCAAGTGTTGAGTTGGTTCAAATAACCTCCAGGGCAGCTGGCTGGCTTTGGGTTATAAATAACCTGAGTATTTAATTTCTTACATTTCTCCCCCCTTGCTCAGTTGTTGCTACAGTGTAGTGTTTCAGCTACATCTTCAGTCTCTTTATAATGGCTGCCTCTCTCCAATTAAGTGCTTTATTGAGGTTGATTGACTATGGGTTTAAGAAAACTGTAGGAAAAAGATCATTTCAATATCGGCAAAGTATGTGAAAGTAATTTACACTGTAGACTAAAGCTAAGAGAAGTGCATCATCTTTATACGAGACAATAGAGGCAGAAAGGCCCATTTAACAGTGAGCAGGATGGGTTTGCTAAAACCTTGGACCACCCTTAGAGGTAAATCTGGCAGTTTGCAACATTGGTATTAAAACTCGAGGAAGGGGTACCTTTGCTGGTACAGAGAAGGACAGACTACTGCATACAGCATCGGCTGGATGTGAGGGATTTCTGACGCACAAGTTTTATCACTGCATTTGCTTAGCACAGCGCTGGATGTGGTTTTCCCATGTCTGCAGGGCTGGAGGAGCCCTGCCTTGGCAGAGTGACTATCCTGCTGTCTGCAGCACTGGGACGGGGCACCCTGAATGTTTTAGCTCAAACTAGGCAAATAATGTTCCATGTCCCGCTTGTCCTGGGGCTAGGTTTTCTGAGAAGTCTGATTATAAATACTGAAAACCAGGACAGGACTGTTGTTAGCCTTAGGCAAGGCAGGCAATTTGATGTGGACAGCAAAATCACTTGCAGAAGTGAGAAAAGGAGAGGCTCTCTGTGTGTCTCCACAACAGCAGCAGGTCCAAGCGCAGCCCCGTGCAGGCTCTGCTGCAGGGATGGAGTGACTCTCAGATGTCCTCCTTGTTGTGCCTGGGGACGCAGAGCCCAGCACAACCTGCAGATGCATCCTGCCCTCTGCCTGATAGCTCTGTGGGGCTCCTAGTCCTGCTTTGTACCAGCTCTTCTTCCCTGTTGTGCTGGAGAAGAGGTGCCTGGTGGCTCCCCAGTTGTATAACAAACCTTCCTATAGAGCCATGGTCTCTTGCACAGTGTAGAGAGCACAGGTTGTGCTCAAAACCTGTCCTGATGCCATGCAGGTGGCTGGGTAGGTGTTGCCACCTCTTGTGTGTCCCCAGTTCCCAAGGCTCTGCTGTGCCTGCATGTCTGCGGAGCCATGCACACTGCTTCTTCACCATCTGGGAGAGAATAAAGTCAGTGTGACTGGCTTGTGTAAGACACTGGGTGAGAACAGTCCAGAAGGACAACCAAAACAATGAAGCAAGTACAGAGAAGGCTTCTGGATGGGAATGGTTGGGCTGAGGGATGAGAGAGACTGGTGCTCTGTGGATGTAGGGTGTGAAAGCTGCTCATGAAAGCTTCTCTTACCACATATATAGGAGAGAATGGAAGGGCTTATGGCTGTGTAATAAAATTATTCCTTTGGCTAAACACCCAAAAGCATGCAGAGGGAGGCCAGGATATCTACATGAGTCAGCGTAGGATCAGCAGCACCAGGTTTCCATGCAGAATTCCTCTTTGTCCGGGATGGTGCCAACCTTCAAATCTGGGTTTACATGTCCCTGAACAAACTTCTCTCACGGTAGGGATTACCTGCTTGAACATTTATTGGAGCGTATTAAACAAGAGTTTCTCTTTCTTCTCCCTCCCTCTTTCTCACCTTCTTGGCAGAGACAGGTCCAAGGGTCACATCTCTTTTTTCTTGTTCTCCATTAGGCTCTGTGGGTATCCCCCTTTCTATGACGAAAATGATTCCAAACTCTTCGAGCAGATCCTTAAGGCAGAGTATGAGTTTGACTCTCCATATTGGGATGACATCTCTGAGTCTGGTAAGAAGCTCATTTAATTGCAACAACCATAGATGTATGCATGCCTATTGCAGATATCTTCCTCTGGGCGTGAGAATGCACCCTCCATCATGGGCGGAGCTCCTTTTAACTGAAAACCATTGGGAGTGTGCATGTCTTTCAGCTCGGTTACAGGAGTTTACTTCTGCAGGAGAGCAAATTAAGTGCTATTTGTCCAGGCACACAGAAAGCACTAAAATATAGCTGGAACAGAAGATAAAGATAGAAGACTGTCCCAAGAAGACAAAGCAGTTTAATTTCTCCGTCATATACAAATAAAAAGCAGATGGTTTATGTGTAAGGTGGCAAACCAGTTTGGCTCTGTAACTGATACTGCGCTGCAGGTCCAAAGTGAGTCTGCAGTGTATACAGCAAAAAACCCAAGAAATTAATGGCTTCCAAATGAGGTGGGTAAGCAGATTCAGAAACTGGAGTACTGTCCACATGGTTGGATCCAGATAGCTGCTGCTATGGTCGCCCAGTTCCCCACGCAGAGCAGAAGACATTTAACCCATAGCACCTGCTTGTCCCTGCTCAGTCTGGCAGAGGCAGATATACCAACCTGTTACAGGCAAATATGCCTAAAGGCTTTTGTTTCCAGCATGGCTCATGGTCTTCCAGCATCACTACCTATAGGTGACAGCAGGGACATGTTCAGCATTGCACCCTGCGTGTGCCACTGACGTACTGTGTGGTCTCCAAGAGGTCACGCAAACTCAGTGTCCATGCTCTGTCCAACCTGGGGAAACATCTGCCACTTCATGCAGGAGAATAAATAAGCTCTAGGAATATTTTATGATACAAAAATATCCCTAGAAATGCAGTTTTCTGACTCATTAGTACTACTGATTAATGCAGGGGAGATATAAAAATAAGTGGTTTATTTTAAAGATTATTATATATCCTGTTATCTCCAAATAGAACAACACTTCATGCTGCTTACATCTGTGGTCCAGATATCATTGTGACGGTTTGCTTAAAAATATATGTGATAAGAAGTTTTTTTAAGTCCATAAGGATTTTGGAGAAAATATGAAGGTCTGCTGGAAGGCCCCTTTCCATTTTGAGGGAAAGTCCATCACTTAAGTCAGCACAAAGATTTTCCTGCCATATTTGGCTTTGCTGTGACTCGTTCATCTGCTTTCTCCTGAAACTACTGGATGCACGCCATGCTGCGATCTCCCTTCCTTCCATTGTAGTGTTGATTAAAAACACACTATCTCATACTCGAGGGAGTCCATTTTCCTCTGTAACTTGTTTTTAAATATGCAACATGTCCTCACAGCTGCCCATGTGTGTGACTGCTTGGAGTGAGCAATGAGAAGCTCCTCTTACTGTGGCATCTGACCTCCTCTTCGCCTTTCCCACTGTTTAGCAGCATTTCCAACAGATGTGGCCATATTCAGACCACTAAGATGGTCAGAGACACTTGGCTAACCAGGGAGCTGGGACCTGGCAGGCTTGTATTCTGCTAACTCTGAATTATTTATCCCACTCCTAAATATACTTGCAGGAGTATATGCCTTAAGCTTTTATCTGCCATACTGTATAGCTTGGTTTGGTCCTAAGACACTTTGGTTATAGCTATACTAATAAATGACAAATGACCTAGGACCATTTTCTGGTGGTATGGCCAGATGGCACTTGGTAGCCTGATCAATGCTGTTGGCTGCTCATCTGGCAGCAGAACTGGGCATAAACCATATTGCTTTAAATTATTCTCCCTTTTTTTTTGCAGCTAAAGACTTCATTCGGAATTTGATGGAGAAGGACCCTAATAAAAGATACACCTGTGAGCAAGCAGCACGGCACCCTTGGTAAGCAACAGTCACTGCTGGGTGAAACCCTCAGGACAGAGAGCATCATTTTACATTCATGGGTCAAAGTGGCTTCTCTGTCGCATGGTATACTAACCTCTGTTAAATAACTCTATGCTTTTATTCTTACAACCCCTACCTTTGTCCTCCAGATTTTCCTAGAAAATCATGATGGACTTTAATCTCTTGCACCAAGCTGCTGAGTATATGTGTAATGATTCAGTGAAATGCTGAATTATGTATGTTGCCTGTAGGGCAGCAGTGGGATAGGCCAAAATGATTGAACCCAGAAATCATATTTTGGGGAAAAAGGTCAAATTCTGCATGTGTGCAGAAAGCTGGGTATCAACCTGCTCATGAGATCCTTGCCAAAGTAACATCAGAGCACTTAAGAGCATCCCATGAAGTAGGAAGTCCTCATCTGTGCTTCACAGATGATAGTTGTCTTACTTTGGGCTGAAATAGAGTTAATATTCCTTTTCAGGGACTAGATGAGTGCTGTGTTTTGGATTTAGCTTTGGGTTTGGTATGGGAAGAATGCTGATAGCACACTGATGTTTTCAGCTGCTACTGAGATTTCAAGGACTCTCCGACTCCTCATGTTCTGCCCGTGCGCCAGGGCACAGGGAGCAGGGAGGGAGCACGGCCACAGCACCAGACCCAAATTGGCCAATGTAATATTCCATATCATGGAACGTCATGCTCACTATATAAAGAAGGGGTGGTTGGGAAGGAGCGCTCTCGCTTCTGGGATTGCGATTGTGGGATCTTGGTATCTCGGGGTCGCTGGCCGGGAACGGGCTGGGTATTGGTTAGCGGGTGGTGAGCAATTACGCTGTACATTGCCTGTTTATATATTTCTTTTTGTTTTCCCCCCATCATCGTTACTGTTTTCATTTTATTGCCATTATTAAACTGTTCTTATCTCAGCCTGTGAGTGTCCCTTCACCCCTCTAATCCCCTCCCCCATTCCCAGGTGGGGAGGGGGAAGGGAGGGTGATTAGCTGCTGCATTGTGGTTGGCTGCCAACCAGGCCTAAACCATGACAATAGTCTACCTCCTGCTTGCAGTAAGGAGCTGGTTTCACATGCTGTTTATCCTCTCTTGTTGAATGGAAGAGCTAAGAGACGCTAGTGAGGGATAAGTTGAGTCTGAATTAGCTATAGCAATGCTTCCTCTAGTGGCTACAGAAAAGTACCTTGTCTGACTGTATTTGTAATTTAGACCTTTGTCAAATGCTTTAAATTAGAAGATGCCTTTTCATGGATGTCTTCACCAACATAACCTGAGGATTATGTAGCTGAAACAATAGTGGTTCGTGTACTCTTGTCCAACTCTGAGTGACTGGGCATCACCTCACAGTACCAGCTGCACCTGCAAATGGCTCTGGATGTAAGTCTTTTAGGACAGGGACTGTTATATATGAAGTGAGATATTATTTTGGTTATTGCAATAGCTGCATCAGAAAGGAGTCAATGGCATGGCATTTTCACTCCAGATGTGCATTAGACTATGTTTTTATGATATCACGATTACCATAAATGCCATTTCGTTTTGCAGTTTCTGGAGTTCTGCCTGGAGAAGAGCATTAGGCTGTGCATTTTCAGGGGAACAGAAGGTTTTCCTTAGTGTCCATAGACCCTTAGAAAAGCAACTGTGCCAGTGTCATAACTAGCTCAACAGTGTGATGGACCACAAAACTGTCCTGGTGATGCAATCTGAGCCTAGGCATCAGCCTCAAGTAGTGTAGTTGAGTGTAAAACTCACGGTAAGAAAAGTACAGGCACAGAAGATGTTAGTGAGCTTTAAGGTAGCTCTGCTTTCTGCTGGGATTTGGGGACATTCATTTGGAGGATGGAGTCTGCATCCCTCTGAGGCTGGGCAGCTGTATCAGCGGGGCTCTGGTCATCTCTACTTCCTCAGCAGACGTGTTTTGGACACACTCCTCAACCTTTCCAGCAATGAAGGGACAGAACTTGGTGCCCAGCTTAAAATCATAATCAGTTTAAAGGAGAGTAAAACTTAATGGCTGTAGCTCTAGAACAAATACTTAAGTTTGACTTCAAGGGGTTTATGCTTCTCTCTCTGACACTCACTGGTTTGTCTCATCTCATCTCATCACTGCTTTCAGTCCTGGGACTAGATGGAAAGTAAATCCTTTCAAAGGTGTTTACCATTCTGGCTTGTTGATGAATTACCCACATCATTAATTAATGATTTGGCACTCATGAAGGTGTTCAGTAAGTTATGACTATACAAGTGGTAGAAATACAGTGAAATGTCACTGATTTATTCATAGTGGGAATGGTGTACCAATGTCTGGATGCAGATTGTCGCTGTCATTACAAATCAGGCTGAAGATAAAATTGAGGCTCAACCTTTACAATTAAAAAGTTTCAGGAAAGGCTTGGGATGCAGAAGGCAATGTAAATCACTGAGAAAAGCAAGGGTCTTGCTTTTCATCCCCCATGCCAATGACAGTGAGAAACATTTTACAGATGTTTTTTAGCTGCATTAGTGACTGGCATCGATACAAATGAGAGATGAGGAGAAGTTAAGACCTGGGCCTGCCCTTTTTCCAATGTCCCATCAATGCATTGTCTGTGTGACAAAAAGGAACTTTGGGAAACGAAACTCAGCTTTCATGAGATGCTAAAAAAAAGAAAACATTTCTAAATGAAACTGACCTGAGCCTCAGGAAATTAAACAACTTACAAAAGTCAATATTAGAAATACAGAATAAACAATGGGAATGCAACTCCCAGCAGAGAATGAGCTGACCATTTGTATAACTCAGAGACAGATTTTCCAAAGCCTTACATCCAAGATACACAAAACATAAGCATCCAGCTCTTGGCCCTGCTACATCTGTGTTGGTTGCTGGAGTGCAACAAAGAAACGTGGCACTTGTAACACACACAGCTTCTGGGCCCTCATGAAGGAACAAAATGACAAAAAGTGGTTTCATTCCTTTTCTTTTCTTTTTTTTTTTTTTTTTCTTTTGCATGTCATGGCTGGGGGCCAATGGAAACTCACAGACTGCTCCATAATTTTTTATATTTTCTACAGAATCCAATCTTCCATTTAAAAACAAGCCCCAAAAAGGGTTTTCCCCAAGTTCTGTGTCAGGGAGTCTTCTTCTGCCAGGCTGACTTTGCAAGACAGTAGTTCGTTTGCAGGGCTACCTCCCAGCCATGTAAAGCATGGCTCCGGGTCAGCCTTCGAAATGTTGGACATGCAAATGACACTGCAGTAGGGAGACTTAAAATATTTGCCATGTTTCTACCCCAAATCAACTTCCCTTTGACATAAGAGACAGTATGTGTCAGTGGATTACAGGACAGTTGTACAATGAAAGCAAAGCATTGATGTTTCCAAAGATATGGCTTCTGATCTGCCTCTGTCCTCCCCAGTGTGCTCTCGAGCAAAACTCAACATGTCATTCCCTCTTGCTCTAAAAAGCTTCCTGTAACATAAATGTTGCAGTTACGGACCTCTCTGGAGAGTGGTGCAGTGATGTTTTGGAGGGTTTGGATCATGAAGTGATAAATGCCTTTTTGGATAATCAAGGCTACTCACATGGATACTATCTGTTATTTCAGAGTTAGTGATAGGATCTCCTTTTGCCAAGCCATTGCTCAAGAAGCATTTTCCACCCAGATTGCTTATGCCAGGAAATAATGAGGGAGGGTTTTACTGCTTCTTTTCTCACTCTAGCCATTCTATCTATTGCAATGGCATCCTCCCGTTCTCTCTGAAGGAGAGGGAGGCCTTTTCAGTGGAGGAGGAGGTGAGATCTGTGCTTCCTCTCAGTGGTCAGCTGTGTCCTCTCAACCTGGGCATAGTTAAGTTTCCAAGTCCAGGCTTGAGTTCCTCTCTCTTGTGATTGCATTCAGTGTTTCACCTGGAGATAAGGGTGCTTGCATTCAACCAACAGAGGATACCACACCTTTTATAATCAGGGCATCCCATACCACCTTTTCACATGAGCATGTATTTTTCATCATACGTCCCTGTTAGCAATATCCCCTTCCATAGTGCCTACATAGCGTTGTCTTCCCTGTGTGTGACAGAAAGTAATGAGCTACTTAAGTCTACTGGCCTAGTGTGAAGAGCTGGTCAGAGCAGATTTCAGGTGTTCCCATAAATTGTATGCTATTGCAGAGTGCTTTTACTTCAAGCAGCCCGTAATGGCATCTCATAAAAGATTTTTTTGTCTGTGCGACTGATTCTGTAGAGGAATGAGCTGGAAAAATACCTTTGAACCCTAGAGTTCACATGAAGTAAAATCCTGATTCTGCTGAGGTTAATGGGAGTTTTACCACTGACTTCAGTGAAAGTTGGGGTTTGTCTCCTTGTCTCTTTAGTGGAACACAGAACATCTACCCAAGTCACTGGTGCTGTGCAAATGATAGATAATTAATATATACAGTGAAGTGGCTCCATGTGGTGACATTTTCCAGCTTTTCCTTTTTCTTCTTACTGTGAATTCTGCCCCTGCAGTTTCAGATCATTGGATCAGTCACAAATTAGGAAGAAATCTATCAATTCACGAGTATTTAACACATATGTTATAATCTGATTGTGATAAAAACAGTTAACTGCATGAGATAGCTACCTGGCCATGAGATTTTGTTGTTTCAATATGTAACATTTGTGAAGAACAAACTGACTCCAAAATATATCTCTTATTTTAATTACTGTGCTTTTATTAAAAACTTCTAAACAAGGCTTGCAAGAACTGTATCCTGCAAGTTATTACATTTGTGCCTTTAAGGTTAATAATTTCTTTGAATTTCGGGAAACTGCTCTAGAACAGCCAGCTATTCACATGACTAAATGTTTGTACAGGATCAGACCCTAAAAAAAGTAAATACTTCTTCCGAATGGCCCACTTTTCTGTGCTGTATCTGCTCCCCACATGCCTGCATTTACGTGATGTTTTGCTATTTATAATCAAATGGCCTTGGCCGCAGGACAGTATGTTAAACTTGGAGTTG